TTAGACTTTCACCAAAGTCAAACCACTTAAAATTTATTGCCTATGACGGAGATAGCCTCAATCCGTAATACCGAAGATAGCCTCAATTCGGTGGAGGTAGGATCCCTCGGGCGATAGCCTCAAACCCAAGATCACAGACCCTCGTGCGCACGTCTTAACCTCACTGACCAGGCCCTGCAGCCGCCCGAGCGATGGCCAGTTTCTATGTTCAACACAATAAACCAATTGACCTTAATCACCGATTAGAATTAATTAATTAACTTAACTAATTCATTAAAGTCTTGGATTTAACCATCCGGTCAAACCTACGACAACAGAATATCCAGTCAAAGCCTAGGTCAAACATGACCTAACCCAAGTCAGAATCAAACCTGTTCAGTGATTTCACAATCCTCAACAATTCAATTCAAACAATCAATTTTATTCAATTAACCAATTTAGCCAAATTATAGCATAAACACATATAACGATCCAAACCATTAAATCTATTCTGAATGCTATTAACTTCATAGTACGGACCTGGATTACGTCGAAATCGAATCGATAGCTCGAACGGAAGACAAATCAACGAAATCAACCGAACGGGTCAAGTCGAGTCAAAATACGAAATTGACCAATCAATCCGGCGTGGAGGTTAATCTGCCGGCGATATCAACTCGGGGCAGCGGCCGGATGCGGCGACGGTGACGGACGCCGGCGACAGTGGCGTAGCGGCAGCTCGACGGCGGTGAGCAGCGACTGGCGGCGCTGCAATCGACGGCGAGGAAGGACACCGGCAGTGGAGGCGACGTCCAGCGCTCGGCGTGGCGGCGCTGCAATTCGTCGGCGATGATGGCGGATTTCCGGCGAAGGTGAAACAGCGGCTGGAGGCTCGGCGACGGCGGCTAGCTGGGTAAGGGCGACCGGCGATGAGCGGCGACGCCGGTGGCTGGCTGCTCCAATTGGACGGCAACGAGGAGCGGCGGCTACTGGCGAAGGACACAGCGGTGGCGCTGGACAGCGACTGGCGACGCTGGGCGGCGACTGCTCCAATTGGACGGCGACGACCTGCTGGGGAAGGGCGACGCCGGCGGCTGGTTGCTTCAACTGGACGGCGACGAGGAGCGGCGATTGGCTGCGGCGAGGCTGGGGAAGGCGACCTGCGATGAGCGGCAACGCCGGCGGCTGCTCCAATTGTACGGCGGCGAAGATGCAACTCGGCGGCGGAGGTCGATCGGCGAAGAAGAAGAAGGAGGAGGAGGAGATGTGCGGTTGTGCGGTTCTCAGAGATCCGAAGGAAAGAAGATAGGTTTAGGTTTATTTAATGGTCCCATTCCTAAAAGGATTGGGCTTCGGATCCAAAATACCTGATTAAATGGTCATAACATGAGCTCCATAACTCCGATTCGCGAGCCGTCTGAACCGACGCGATCACAAAATTATTTCCTACGAGATGACATAAAAGTTGGGCTTAGAATCCAAATTATAATTTTAACCTCTTTTTGGACCCAATTCGTAATCAATTGCTCTAACAATTTAATTAATTCTTTTGGGCCAGTTTTCGGGGCGTTACATTGTGAGTGGTTTCACAAGTTACCCAAGGGGTCGATAGATAAGTGGGGCGACCTGGCCCACAAGTTCTTGGAGCACTTCGCATCCAGCCGGAGACAAAAGCTCCCCTTCTCGCATTTGCTCAATGTGAAGATCCGGAAGGGGGAACAGCTTCGGGAGTTCATTAATAGGTGGGAGAAGGAGGCTAGGGATGTCCAAGGGGCGGACGACCAAGCCCTAATCGCCATGCTCCAAGCTGCACTCCCCCAAGGGGATGTGCGTAAGGAGCTGCGACGGAATCCTCTCTCGACCTATCAAGAGATGTTGGCCAGGGCGAAGTACCTGGCGCTGGAAGAGGAAGATGATGAGCCACAAGTCCGGAAGGAGAAGAAAAGCGGGCCACCGGTGGCAGAAGGAAAGAAAAGGAAGGATTATGGTAAGGGGCCGAACCCCACCGGGTATCATGCGAACAGGCATCCCGTTCACGCGGTACAGTCGTTGCCGGCCCCTCCTCATGGTCGGGAAAGCTATGGTGTGCAAGATGCACCCAAATACTGCGAGTACCACCGTAACAGCACCCATAACACGTCGGAGTGTGTTACGCTAAGGAAGGAGATGGATCAGCTGATCGCTAGAGGGCCACCTCCTCGGTCAGAGCGACCGTCCACAAGTAACCGAACCTGGAGGAGGCCGCCAGCCCCCACGGCAGCGATCACAGCAGGAGAGGGGCAAGAAGATGGACGGCGGCACCTAGGGCGAGATTGTGATGACCTAGATGAGGAGGAGAGGCAAGGTCGCCGACACCTGGGGTGTCGGTTCATCATGGGAGGAAACACTGGAGGAGATTCGGTATCCTCCCGTAAGAAGTGGAAGAACATGGTGTACCTGGCCGAGGTACAATGGCCACCGCTACCTAAGCGAAAGAAGAAGGAACCTCTGATCTTTACAGACGAGGATTATCCCCCAGTCCTCAGCCCTCACAGGGACGCTCTGGTGATAAGAGTGGAGATCAATAATGTGGTTGTTCACCGAACCTTGGTCGATACGGGCAGCTCGGTCAACGTAATGTACAGCAACACCTTTAAGGATTTGGGATTGTCCCGAAGCGACCTGAAACCAATCCATACGCCGCTGTCAGGATTTACAGGGGATACTATCGAAGTAGAAGGAACTATCACGGTAAAGGCCGGGGTAGGAGATGGCACCCACCGACTCTGGGTCGACATGGAATTTATGGTAGTACAGCTCGACTGTGCACACCATCTGATTCTGGGATGACCAGGGTTCAGCACATCAGGGTGATATGCACATATTTTATACACTTTTTAGGCATATTTTGAAGGAGTTTTGAGTCCCAATTGAATTTAATGTTTATATTTTATTTCAATTTTCCGTTTTATTTGTGTAGAGCGGTCCTATGCTTGGTTTTATATGTTTTGCAGGTATTTTGAGGCCATTTGGACGCATTGAGAACAATTTCAAGAACGGAAAATAAACATGAAAGTTTGGGACCAAAATAAATTGAAGAGAATTGAAGAAAAGAAGGAAACAAATAAAGAATAAGGAAAAAAGGAGCAAGCATTCAAACTCAAGACTTGGGGGCAGGGATTTGAAACTCTGACCATTGCACCACAACCGACTATTCAGCATTTCAATGACAGAGCGCGAATAATATCTGTCTTAATATTTGGCTCATGAATTGGGAGAAAATGACAAAATAGGAGACGGTGGGAAGATTCGAACCCAACATCACGCTGCCAACATCCAGCTGCGTTTCCATGTGAGCTACAGGAGTTGTTTTGACCAATTATGCTACTGTTTGTATATACTCCGTATATACGATTTTATCTATAAAATCACATCTCCTCTCTTCTCTTAGGAGGTTGGAACCCCCATTTTCTTCCTTCTCTCTAGTCCGAAATTCTCCTCCTCCATCACTAATATCTCACCACTTTCTTCTTCCAAACACATAAAAATTACTCCATCTTCATCATCATCAATTTTAGTTGGAGCTCAAGAACACATCTTCCATTTTGTAAGATTTTTATTATTGTAATAAATATTTATTTGTTTAAGCTTCAAACTATGAACTTCTAAATTCCATTGGGGTTAGAAGTTGGTGTAATTAATTGTCCATCTTAATGTTTTGAATATTTTAAACATGGATTGTTGATTTTAGTTTTACTTAGATGTTGTATTTAAAAATAAATAAATTTGAAATGTTTGTGATTTTTAATTAAGGGCCCAATCATAAACATAATTGTTACAAGGAATATGAGCTAAAATTGATATAATCATAAAATAGAACACTTTTTAAATACACCGTAAGCCTTCTCTACCTTTAACCGGAATTGAAGACTTACGGGTGGAAATAATTATTGAGTTGTATTCTTACACCATTAAATTGGGTAAACATACAATAAAATAATTATGGTTGCCGTTGCTACTAAATAATTACTCCGGATTTATCATTAGCGTGTTAAAGTCGGAGTAGTTATTATTTAGGTGAACTGCGAGAGCGTCCCTGAATACTTTTCTGCAACTCCACA